CCCCAAAACCCCAAAACCCCAAAACCCCAAAACCCCATTATCAACACAGATATAGAAAATATAATAATCAATTTCAAATATGACAATTTTTGCTGAAATTCTCAACTGTTTTTACAGAGATAAAGAGCTTGAAAGCCTTGAAGAGATGATTCCGAAAGGTAAGACTATCCTCATGACCATTACAGAGGAAAAGAAGCATTTGAATGAACTCACGATCACCACCATCAAGAGAGTAAGTCTTTGTAGTCTTACTGGAAATAATTTCTATTTGCTAACTAGTAATAGGGGGTATTGCTGCTTCTAATTATCAACTTATGCTTCATATCATTTCATGTAAGCTCTTTCTTCTGACCCATAGATGATGAAAGAGAATCCTACCCAGAGAGATATAGATATGTTCATTGGAGACCTCGTATTCACTATAGGGTCATCAATAGCCTACATAATCCTAATATGGTATCCCGATTACAGTAAATTCTACCTCTTCCTCAGCTGACCGCTGGGATTTGTCATGCTGGCTACATTCTTCATGACAGACTTTGAGGGCCATTACAACTGCTATGTAGCCTGATACTATTGCTATTGCTTCTTTTGTGTAGTGGTAGTCCCTTCCAAAGTTGACCTGAATAACCTGGTATTTCTATTAGGAATCCTATTATATACATACAGAGCTTATACCAAACTGAAGAATGGAATAGGAACTGAAATGGCTCTTTCAAGCTTAATTGCCTTCTCGTACTTCTATTTAGCCAATAATGCACTGCATTCCAGACTTAAGCATTTGTACACGCTGCTGCTTAAGAATGAGAAGTTGGTCAAAGAGAAGAGGAGAGTCGTCGAGGTATTCCCTCACTCAGTGTTGATCATACCCCAAAAAGGGCCTATGAATAACTGCTATTGCAATAATGAGTTCAAGTCAAAAATAGCCCAACTGGATGGCCATATTAAGGAACTTGAAAAAGTTAAGATTTCTCTTAAGAAGGGGGTAGACAAACCACAGCATGATGAGAATATCAACCTCTATGAGTACCTCCTCAGAAGGCAGCAGAACTTCTCTAAAAACAAGCGGAGAGCCAATAAGGTATGCTTCAGACCTTATGAGGGTGTTTTGATGATATTCGTACTCCAAATTTTGACACTTTTTCATACATTAATCATATTTACATACCTCTTCTTAAAAATGTCACCTGATTATAGAAATATTCAAATGAACTCAGTCTCAGCTTCAAAGTTCCTGGGCAGCAAAGAGACTCTGTCTCAGACCATGAGGATAAAGGGATGCATGATAGCCCCAAGAACTTCAGTATCAAATCTCTCCAAATAGAGTGGAAGGGCCAGCCATGCTACATGCATGTGTTCATAGACACAACAGATATTATAAAACTCGAAGAGGCTAAAAATAGGATAAAACTTCAACGTATTATGTTCGCAAGTGCAAGCCATGAGTTTAGGACACCTCTTAACGCAATCATTAATTCTTTTTAACTTCATATCCCAGAACTTTGAAGACCTGCTTGAGAGTCTTAATTCAGACCTTGACCCGACGACGTTGGCTAAAGAAGAATACTTAAGTAATATAGAGACGATAACGAGATTTATGAAGACGGGGACTACCAGCTCTACTCTCCTTCTCGCATTAGTGGAGGACATCCTGAACCTGTCTAAGATCGATAATGGAACATTCACGATTTATCAGGACTACTTCAGTGTTCCAGAGCTGATGCAGGAGGTCCACTCCTTGTTTGTAATACAATGCATTAATAAAGACATTGAACTGACGATTGACTATGATAAGAGACTAGGTGTATGCGAAGTCAGGTCTGACAGAAATAGAATTAGACAGATTCTCCTAAACCTAGTCTCTAACGCTCTGAAGTTCACTTTTGAAGGCTTTATAGCTATAAATGCTGCACTAGTCGTGTCAAATGATGGCTCCACCATTCTCGAGTTCAGAGTCAAAGATACAGGGATTGGAATTAAAGAAGAAGACCAACCTAAACTCTTCGAATTATTCGGAATGATAGAAGACAACAGCAATCTCAATACAAACGGGTGAGGCCTCGGCCTTACAGTCTGTAAGAAGTATGTGGAGGTTCTAGGAGGTGATATAAAAGTGAAGTCTATTTATGGTATTGGTACTGAAATGATCTTCACTGTTATCCCAATTGACTACAAAAATGCCAGGTTTTACAAAGCAAAGGCTACCCCTCGGTACTGAAAAGAGCCAGCGAAATCCATAGCATCCATAATAACATCCAACTCCTTAGAGGAATACACTGGTGGGAGGAATGGGATTCCAACCAAGCAGAATTTTACATTTGATGTCTCAAAGATCTCTCCATTTTAAATGATATAGGTAATTTCAATACGCATTCTTGATCTTGGGGTTTTGGGGTTTTGGGGTTTTGGGGTTTTGGGG